TGACCGAACCGGTGATGTCCCGATGGCTGATTGGATAGCGGACGAGTTTGCGTTTGGATGTAACAGTGGCACGACAGGGCTGGTTGTTAAGCCTTGGGAAGGAGAAAGGATACACGAGGAATGCGTACCAGAGGATCTACAACTTACTCTTGGAAATTCAAGCACCATGTGAAATATATATATATATATATATATATACTCTCCTACTATAAACGTTCATTTTACTTGGTAAAGATTTGCCATTTAATTCAATGAGTTTCCATTCGATGGGGAAATCGATTGGGAATCCGGGTTACTAATTAGTTATCATGATAATTCCGTTCATTATTAAAATGAGACAACTTTGAAACTGTTTATATGGTTGATATATTGTTTCGTTTCCGTGACGTTTGGAATACCCACACATATATAATGATAAGATACGGATATTATTATTATTATTATTAAGATGGTTGAACGAGACGACCAAAAGCTGTAACGGACAAAGATTTCTGGTTTGACCCGACAAACCCAATGCGAAGTTTCCCTCCGGACAGCCTATGCTTATCCAAAGATCTTGGATTAAATATTTTTAAAGGAAAAAGACGTTGAAAATGAAGTCAACGCAGATAGATATTTTTGGATATTTTTATAGGGGTGGAAATATATTCCAATTCTTTTTCTCTAGAGAGGTTTGAAAAATCGGGAAATATTTAGAATTTACGAAAAGCGTGTGCATAGAAGCTTCTCTATGTCATAATATTCAACAAAACCGGGGAGACCGGCGTTGGTACAAAGAGATTCAACTTAAAAGTCTTAATCCCTTTTACTCGAGAGGAGGGTTTTCCATTTAATTAATTAAATCACTAAATCGGACAATTTTTTTATTCAGAATTTTTAATTTAAGTTTTTACTTTAGTTATTTACTTTTGGGTTTTAACTTTTGATTTTTGGTTTTTGATTTTTGTAAAATTTGTTAATTAAAAAAATAATTTGTTGTTTCGTTTTAAATTGATTTTTTCGTTAAAATAGTTTTCCATATTTTTAGAAAAACTAAATTTACAAATGATTATCATTTTTTAAAAAATTTTAAAAACTCAAAAAACCTCTTCCATTCAAACCTTAGTTATTTTGTTTGGTCATTCTGAAACACAAAGGAACGAGCCGTAATGGGCTAGTACAGATACAAGGTTCAGCCCTACAAGGCCCAATTATGCTCTGTAAGGCCCATATAATCGGGCCCAGTACGGCCCATATACATAGCACAGAAAAATTAACCAAATCAGTGATCATTCATCTCTTCCAACAAGCTGTTTCAGAGCAACTCTCATGTCATCGAAACCATCACAGTCGTCAAAAAACGCACCGAGCTTCCTCAGCTCCTCGTCCATGAGATCATCTGTGAAGGGCTTTATGGGGAAGGCATTCTCCGGCTGAAGCGCGTACGAGTTGGGGTTGTCGTCCACGATAACCACGCGCCTCATGTCCCCGACCACGCGCCCAAGGTCCTTCACTAGCCTCCCGTCCATTATGGTGCAAGAATTTCTGAATAGGCGGTGAGAGATCACGCGCCTCCGTGGGTCCAGATGGTCCAGCACCATCGACGCGTACTCCGGCAGTCCCGCCGTGAACACCACCACCGTGTATTTCTCCCCGATCTTCCTCAAGAACTCGTCCACTCCTGGCCGTTTGATAACGAAGAACGTCAACATCTGGCCGTCGATTCTCGGCCTCACCACGAAATCGTACGGACCCTCTGGTCTCTCCGTCGACGAGTGGATCAGAGTCTCGTCCAGATCCAAAACAATCGTCTTCTCCTTCTTCTTCCTATTTTCCGCGGAATCTTCGAACTTTTCGTCTTCATCGTCAATTAGCGAAAGGAGAGGATTGAAATGTGGGGATTTGGGAACAGGGTCGATGTGGTTTTCGAGGATTTGAAAACCATTTGTGCTGCAAATGCTGCGACAGCGGATGGAATCGAGCTCGGGGAGGCGGGAGAAGAGGCGGAGGAGAACGCGGTGACATTTGTAGAAGGACTTGTTCACGGAGGCGACCACGGTGGTTGCCGCCTCCGGAGTGCATCTCGGCTGGTTTTGGCTGTAGCCTCTCCGGTTGTGGCGCCGCAAGTTATGCCGGTGGTGGCGTTTGATCGGCGTCGTCGTCTTCTTTATCAGCTTCGTCGCCATTGTTATGGGAGAGCCAGAGAATAGATAAATCCAAAGAGGGGGGAGAGGGAGAGAGAGAGAGAGAGGGAACCAGAGGGAGAGAGGGTATTTAAAATTTTAAATTAGGTTCGGTGTAACGGTCAAGTGGTGCCTAAGGTTCGGAGGTACACTTAAATATGATGTAGTGGTAACGGCTCATTCGATCATATATTATAGGGATAATTCCATTTAAAACCCTGTACTTTTCTCTCGTCGCAATTTAAACCCTGTACTTTTTTTTGATCCAAAAAAACATTGTACTTTTAAAAATTGGCAATTAAAACTCTATACTTTTAAAAATTGGCAAATAAAACCCTGAACGAAAAAATATATTATTTAATGCTGACGTGGCATCCTAGTCATCTGCCACATCATCAATCCCTAATATTTAATAATATTAATTAATACAAAATAAAAATAAAATAATAAAAATAAAAATAAAAATTTAAAAACTATACACATACATATATAATGAAATGATATACATATATACACATATATAAACATATTTATATATATATACACACATATATATAATACATATATATATATATATATGTTTTATATGCATATGTGGTATATGTATTTTTTTTCTTCTAAAAATCATGCATATGTCACATATATATATGATTTTTAGAAAAACATGTATATATCACACATACATATAAAACATATTTATATATACATATATATATATATGTATGTATTATATAGATATATGTGTATATATAAATATGTTTTATGTATGTGTGTTATATGATTTTTTTCCTAAAAATCATACATATATATATAATGTTTTTTAGGAAAAAATACATATATAACACATACATATAAAACATATAATAATTATACACATATATAGATATATATGTATCATATGTATATATATGTATATATGTATATATAAATATATTTATATATGTATATAATTTTAAAAATTTTATAAACATGTTTATATATATGTATAATTTTTATGAATATATATCATTTTTAAAATTTTATTTTTATTATTATTATTATTTTATTTTTATTTTTTATTAATTAATATTATTAAATATTAGGGATTGATGATGTGGCAGATGACTAGGATGCCATGTCAGCATTAAATAATATTATTTTTTGTTCAGGGTTTTATTTGCCAATTTTTAAAAGTATAGAGTTTTAATTGCCAATTTTCAAAAGTACAATGTTTTTTTGGATCAAAAAAAAGTACAGGGTTTAAATTGCGACGATAAAAAAGTACAGGGTTTTAAATGGAATTATCCCTATATTATATGATGGACCCATTAATTATAATTTAAAAGCGGAAGAAAACAAAAGGCAGATTGTCTGCCACTATCTCTTCCATTAAAAGCCTTTTAACGACCAACTCTTCAAATTCATAATATGACCGAGGAGTAGTCTAAATATATATATATATATATAACACATATATATATAAATAGATATAGCGTGTGAGATATTTATCCAAAATTAATAACGTGTATTTTTTATATTAATAGACATTCCCAAAAAAATAAATTAGCGGAATTCGAATTCAATATAAAAAACTGGAAAATCTAAATAAAACATTTTATAAGAAAATAAATATATAAACCAAAACCAAAATTAAAATCAAATAAAATTATATGTAAAAATGGAAAGTGGATGTAATTTTTTTTATAAAGTATAAATAGAAAATTTCAGAAATAATTATAAATCAAAATATAACTGGAAGCCAAAAATATCGGATCCCGGGTGCATGCACATTGACAAGTCAAGATATTATTTCTTGTTATTTGCGTCTAGTTCTTGTTTTCACCATTTTTAAAATTATTCAATTATCCAACGTTTTCCTAAAGCAAATTTAGAAGGAATTTATTTATTTTTTTGTTAAAGATGGAATCATATAATATGCGTATAGTGGGGATAATTTCCTCGTCTTCTTTTAATGAAAATTTCAACTCTGAGATCTGGTCAAAGTCTCCACATGAATTTAATATTTCATATTTCAAATAAATCATACACTGTATATCGGTTTCCTTTCAAATAATCAAATGTTTAAGGTAAAGTAATTTAGTCAACGATTTGCGGTCGACCAAAATGACCGTACATATGCGTCGTATGTATGTATATAAATACATGTATTGTAGTATTATTCTTCGATGTGGATAGAAAATCAGAGGAGATACATTTTTGCGTTCCCACGAATAAGGAAGCTGTCCGAACACGACATGGATCACGGACATCATCATCATTGTTATTATTATTATTATTATTATTATTATCATTAATATTATCGTTATTATCTTCCTCGAATATTTTATTACATTAGTATATTATTAAAAGAAAAGAAAAAACAATAAATTTGCAAGAAATGAAGATGTGAATACGGTTGGTAGTTGAAGGACTTTGAAGATCCCATCGTCATCAATGCCTCCCCTTTACCTTACTGTCGAGAAAATCAAAAGAGTTCGTCGGGTCTATGCTTTTTTTCATATCACACTTTTCAATATCCAGAGACAAAAATTAAATAAAATGGATAATCTGTGACAGTTATTAAAAAAAAAATTCTTTCAGAAACTTAATTTGACTGATGAATCTAATTAAATAATATTTTATTTATGTGGGAATTAGAAAAAATTGGATAATGATCACCAAATAATATGGCAAGTTTACTGTACTTACTGTTTTTATTCCTTGTGTAGGAAAAAAAAAAGCAGCACCATCAAGAAATTTATAGAAATAGATTTTATTATAAATAAATATAAAGATGAGCTTGTATCAACAATTTATTAACGGAAAGAGTCAATTTTTTTAAAAAAATTTGGATATAATCTTAGTTTTTAGCTGAAGGATCAAAACAGGAAATTGTTATAATTTTCCACATAACAAGCATACCGTTATTGCAAAGTGTGTATATGGTCAAATATCTTCACAGTTGTTCGGTTTTTAATTAAAATTATTATATATGGTCGAATCGCCATCTCATCATGTGTTAGGAGATCCTCTTTCTCCCCCTCTCTCTCCCTCTCTCTCTCTCTCTCTCTCTCTCTGAGAATAAATTGGAGATCACAGATTCCGCCTTCCCCACTAAGCCATAACACAGCCTGAAAAGTTGGATCCTTTTTTTTTTTCCTGTTATCCAGAGAGAGAGGAAAAAAATAGAGTTATGGCGGAGAACTCGGGGAACAGCCATGGCGGCGGAGGAGGAAGAGGATCAGTGAAGGTGAGTATCAATGAAGAAGAAGCTGTCGAGTGTCGTGTCGACAACGACAACACCATCATCTGTACATCCGCCAAGAAACAGGAATCCCTCCTCTCTTTCTCCGTCCCTTTCTTGCAGAAGGTAAATTCACGAATCCGTGTCCGAAATCCAAACCCTCTGATGGGTTTCTCAGTCTCCTCTCGTTTCGATCAAACCCAGTATCCACAGCATCATAAAGTTCCAAACTTTATTAAAACATATTAGCCATATTCTTTCTCTGACAATATATATATATATATTGCAGTTGATAGCGGAGGTCTTTGGGACGTACTTTTTGATATTCGCGGGATGTGCGGCAGTAGCGGTGAATGCACAGAAAGACAAGGTCGTGACAGTTCCAGGAATCTCCATCGTGTGGGGACTCGCCGTCACGGTCCTCGTCTACTCCGTCGGCCATATCTCCGGTGCCCATTTCAACCCCGCCGTCACCATCGCCTTCGCCTCCTGCCGCCGTTTCCCCTTCAAACAGGCACTTTACTTACACACACGTTCATGCATGTTCATCTCGCTTGAACGCAGTTGGAGAATGCGAAATTGATGAACAAATTAGCTAAAGGAACAGTAATGTTTTCGAGGGCGTTCACTCGGAAGTCATAAAAAAAATCGATATGAAAATTGTGGATTTATAACTAAGCAGCACGCATTTCTTCAATATAATATAAATCAGGTTCCGGCTTATGTGATCGCTCAATTGCTGGGATCGACGCTGGCGGCCGTGACGCTGAGGCTGATGTTCGATATCCACGACGACGTATGCAGCGGAAAACACGATGTTTTCGTCGGGACTTTGCCGTCGGGATCGAATCTTCAGTCGCTGGCGATAGAGTTCATCATCACCTTCTACCTCATGTTCGTCATCTCCGGCGTCGCCACCGACAACAGAGCTGTTAGTACATTCTACTTCGTCTTTTGTTTAATTTCGGGAAATCGAGTCTTTATTTGGTTATATTATTCGTTCCTCACGTTGATATATTTCCATCTAAATATGATTTGTAAAATTAAGAAAGATACCGACGGATTTAGATATATGGATATTTTTTTCCTTCCGAATAGAATTATTCCATATAAATAAATCTTCTATTAAAAAATGTAAATAAAAAAGATTTTTTATTAGTAATCTTCGTTATTTTAAAATATGGATATTTAATTGTTAGTAATCGTCGTTATTTTAAAATCTTGGATATGTTAATAAAAAAGATTTTTATATAGATATTTTAGAGTTTTTGATAATTGCATTTATTTTCTAAAATTTTTCCATCAAATTATTATAGAAATAAATTATACTTATTTAGAGTTTATCTTGACCAATATTATAGAAATGGATTAGCTATATCTGATAATTTATAAACCCTTTGGATTTTGGTACTTGTGGAAATAAATCTCCTGATTTTCTGGCAAGGTCTTTTAATATTTAGTTTTCCATTTAGTCCCCAATATTCAGAGGAATTCAACATTTTGCCCAAATGTTTATGTATTACTCCCTACACAGATCGGAGAACTTGCCGGACTAGCCGTTGGAGCGACCGTGCTAATCAATGTCATGTTTGCCGGGTAACCAATCGACGCCATGAATCTTGATTCGATAGATCACTGCTTATTATATATTTTCGATGTTCTTGAACCGCTAATGCACGTAATGCATCAAATCTTCGTCAGACCGGTTTCCGGAGCTTCGATGAATCCGGCAAGAACGTTAGGACCGGCGATGGTGTTTGGATGTTACAGAGGAATATGGGTATATATGGTCGGTCCGATCCTTGGAGCGGTATCTGCTGCATGGATTTACAACATGGTTAGGTATACCGATAAGCCGTTACGAGAGATCACAAAGAGTGCATCGTTTCTAAAGGGTTCGCGCAGTTCCCGTTAACGGAGGGTTGAAATTGCAACTATTAGAAGTCATGGACACTTTTATGAAAACTATTGTTTTTGTGATGGAATCTTTAAGGATAGTCAAAAGGGTGATACTACAGAGCGAAGTTTGACTTAGACCGCATAGGTAAGGACAAAGTTTGCCGCCTTGTAATCAATCATAAATCAGAAGAAAAATTATTCACCCTCTTAGAATTAAACTTTTGGCATTTCGTTTAAATCCGGCTGTTAAATATAATAATTGTGTTTAATATATATATATATATATATATATACATGTATATATATTATTCTTATTAATGAGAATGATTGGTTCAAGTATACAGCCACTAAGATACATAGGGTCTACCAAAATTATTCTTTTTGAACAGCGGCGACGGCGACGGGGGGTGAACAGCAGCCGGAAGATGAGATTGAGGCGAAGGAAGAGGAAAACGGAGGAATCTAGGCGAAGTTACAGAAGCAGCGGCGAAGATCTCCATAGACGGCGATGTCCGGACCAGTCGAACTCGTCTCTATCTCCTTCCTCAGGACCTTAGCCTGTCTCCCCTCCCTAGATATTCGCCACGTGTTTTTACGGCGCCGACGTCATCAATTCCTTTTTTTCGAGACAAAAATATTTAATATCTATTTTTCGAAACAATGTAATGTAAACCCATTATATATATATATATATATATATATATATATAAAAAAGGAGATCAAATTACATCGTATCAAATCCTCACACCCACAATATAGTACCAGATAACAAAATATGTTGAAAGTTATAACAAATCAAAATAACGGAACTATATATATATGTCGTAAGAAGTGATTCATCGGTTGTAGAAGTACGTGGAAGACCTCGCAAACAAGATAGACGGCGGCGTGTAGATCCCAGAATGTCTCTAAGAACAATGTTAAGTGGTCGAGATTTGTACTCATGCAATCTCAGATTCCTTTCTCTCCAAATTAATCAGGTAGCTAGGTAGATCGTTGTAGAAGTAGCAGAATAATGAGTTTAATACCTCTATTCGATGAGCAACCAGCTGCCCATTCTAGAGTGGCGGCGTATGAATCCTCCGGTGCTTGTAGTAAAGTGGTCCAGATTTGCTTTTGAGTAGTCACATGCGAAGAACATATGATCAATGCTCTCGTGCCCATCATCGCAAAGTAAGCAGCCCAATGCAGAGTTCGGAAACCATGAAACCAGTCGATCCCTAGTCGGCAGCCTGTTACGAACCCCTAACCAGAGTGAATGCATGCTTAGGTATGGCATGTGTGAACCAAACCGATATAGCCCAAGAGACTTGGGTTAAGGATGAATAAAATAGCTTCCAAGCTCTGGCGGTTGTGAAAGGCTGCCAATTCTCCCCTATATGGCAAGAGGACCAGTAACAGACATCACCTTCAGCCATCAGGTTTCGATGGATAGCCGCAATGGAAGCGCTCCTAGCACGGGAGATCTGCATGTGAAATTGAAAAACCACATGAAAGTTGATGGTTATGGACAATGAATAATCTCTTTAGGAAATATGAAATTAATTATATATATATATAAATGTATGTATGTATGTATATATATGTAATCAAAAGGTAACAGCATCTTCACCAGGCAACTGCTCTACAATTATAGCCTTATGGGTCACATTCACATTTTTCATCCCCACCACTTTTGGTGTTATGCTTCCCATTGGAAAAGTAAAAGTATATATATATATATATATATATATATATATATATATATATAATATTGTTCGTATTTTGTAACAAGAAAAAAAATAAAGAAGAAAGGAAGAGGGGAGAAATTAGTATTTACTTATAAGCATTTAATTGGATTAGGTGGTGACATTTAATTCCTTCTCTCCCCAACACTTTCAGATCTCATCGAGAGTCAGTTCATATATAATTATATATATATATATATGTATGTATATATATATGATGTTTTTATTCAATATTTGCCAGTTCCTTTCAACACAACATGTGAAATTCTTACAAGGTAAAAATTTCTAGAAAATAGAAGAACATCACTTTCTAGAAAGAAAAAAATTACAAAAATTTGATACATGTGAACGTTGTTCTACACGTTCGAGTTTTTCTATTTTTTTCTTTCTTTCAATAACACATATCTTCCATAAAAATACAACTTGTAAAACCCTAAATCCTAATATTTCTCAATCCGGGAAACAACTAGTTAAGTTATGGTAAGAAACATGATCAATATACAGGAGATGTTGAAAGTTCGACTCCTTATCCATTCACTTGTCCCCGACATCAGTTATGACTGACTCACATCACACGCGTGTATCGCGGGTTCGTGTACGTGGATGGGAGTTTACCTAGCATGCAAGCGCATCCGGAAGATAGCGGTTAGGGTTCCCACAATATAAAAAAAAAAAAATTCTCAATCCGATACGAGTTTATCACAGAAATCAACCGGTAATTAGAGATCAAATGATCAACAACCAGAAGTAGAATATGAGTGTGACAATTAAGATTAGGTCGAAGTTAGCCAAATGTGGTAAGATGCCACTTTCAGTCGTGGTCCTTCATGGAAGATACGGTAAGATTTTCTCGTTCTTAAAACCCACATGGCCCCAAAGGAAGAAGAACCTATATAGCTTGGACGTCTTTATTTAGTAGATGAGAAACTGCAGACAACATTTGATTTCATTCGTATTACAATATCGTAATATTCGATCGTTTAATAACCAGATTCAAAACGAGATTCATTGGCATGTGACAGAGGATAAATAGAATTTGCCAAAATGCAAACGTTAAAGCATAATTAAGGATATATCTTTTATCGTGTTCTTGTCCGAAGCATTACCGATTAGGTTGTTGTGGGGAGAGCGCCGACAAGTAACATCGTGGGCATTAACATGCAAATACTAACATTATAGTCGTACGTACATATAATTATATATACCACATATTAAAATCGATCTACTGTCGGTCGGTCCTGATTGATATATAAACTGATAACCGCAAGGGGATAAATTGCATTTGGGTTCTATTTGAGTTTTATATTTGTCTATGGAATATTCTAAATTTCTTAAGAATGAAATATGAAAAATCTCCTACACATCCCTAGATTACTCTGTACTAGAGTATATTGTACATATAGTGTATATGTTGCAAAGCCTATGGAAATCTTGATCCTGGAAATTGTTCTAATAACAAATAAGACAAACCCTGTATATTTTGTTTTTTCTTGAAATTAAAAAAAAAAACCCCTCATATTAAGATTAGCTTTTACATTAATGCTCGATTAAACGGTTAATTAGAGTTATAATCGATTTGATTAAACGGGCCGGCCGGTCTGGTCATCGACATTATATATCGTCTTTAATTGTTTAGTTTTGATGGATGTGGAGTTCTATTTTTCAATGAGGAAGACAATTAAAGGTTGGAAAAGAGTATATCTAAGTTATAAGATCTTTTCTTTTTGCTAATTTTGACAAGGAAAAAACAAAAAGAAAAGGAGAAGGGAGAAAGGCCACATTGCAAGTGGGTACATATTATATATATACATACGTGTGTATATATATATACATACGTGTGTATGTATATATTGATTATACGAATGCAAACACCATGTGATGTGTAGTATTCAATCTCCATCTCTCTAAACCCATTTAGGGCAATGAGATTGGAGACTACACATATCACATGGTATTCTCTCTCTCTTCTTTTTGGCATTAACCTTGCTCTAAGTACTTGAGCTCTTCAATTATTCGGCGAATATCAATAAAACATATAAAAAACTTTCTATTTTTTTATTTAATTCAAAATATAAATTATATTTATATTGAATTGAATCATCCTAACCGTTCACGCTTAATAACTACTCATGGTTATTGATAAGAAACCATACGTACCTACATACATACATACATACATACATACATACATACATACATACATACATACATACATACATACATACATACATACATACATACATACATACATACATACATACATACATACATACATACATACATACATACATACATACATACATAGAGTTTGTACGGGTTTTTTCTATCACCGAAGAGTCAATATTGTGATTAGCTAAAAAAAACTAAAGGAATGTTTTTTTATAACAAAATGTATCCAAATGTTTGATTCTATTTAAAATCATATGCGTTAATAAATCACGTAAGTATAAAAAAACGTAATGGTTATTTTTTTACATTCTATTTTTGGTTATTTGAAAAAGAAGAGTTAATAGATTAATGAATTAAAATTGGTGGGAAAAATAGTCAAAAAAGCAAGTGAAAAGAGATGTAAAGAAAACTAGTTTCAGATGGGCGGCTTGGTTACCTTCTAAATGGATCAGAAGTTTATATTCATAACTTTCCAAATTAAGCCCTAACGTCTTGTCCACCACACACGTCGTACGGACCATCTTTTTTTTTTAATCTCTTGTACTCTTTTATTACATGTCAAAGTCATAGCTTAACACCATCATCATAGATAGATGTTAGAAACAGTATGATGATAAAAAAATGCTATATTAGTAATAAGATTTATTATTATTTCATATTTTGAGTTTCTTCTTTTTTTAAGACTTGGTCATGTTCGATTTGTAATATATTAATATTATTTTACTTAAATAGACTCAAACTAGGATATCTTATGTTAAATAATATATTATATTGGTACACGGATCAAAGGATAGTGTATGCCCATCTTGTTAAGTTGTTTATTTTCATTTTCTAACCAAAGCAATAATAAATTGTATGTTAAAACAATACGATGAATCATTGATTAAAAGAACAGTTTATCGTTGATACAATTACATCTACAGATTACCAAGATTGATGATGAACAGTTTAATTTTAACAAAAGAAATTTTTTTTTATCAATTTAACATATCCCCAATGATTCAAGATTTTTTTTTTTTGGTTTGAAAAAAGAATAAATTACGTAAACTATATGTAGCTAGCTATATAGTGATGTTTTCTATAACATTACTCTTTCATTGTTGTACTTTTTCCTTTTAAGATTTTTACCATTTACTTTTAAATCTTACTGCGTTTTACCAAAGATTTTAGTGCCTTACGCATAAAACATATGAAAGGGAAAGACAACTAATGGTTAGTAGTGTTTGCATCTCATGAGTGATTGCCCAACTTGAGCCCTCCTTTCCCTTCACTTTTGTGAAAGATCACATAAAGAAATATCCATCTGTAATTTAATATATATATATATATATATATATATATATATATAAGTATTTCTCAATTGGGGATTCGCCCTAATTTAAGGAAAATATATAAATTACATTAAAAATAAAAAAGTTTTAATACTATTGAGATGCTTACTAGAATAAAAACATACTCTCGGAGTTTATAAACACAAAACAATCTAAAACTTCGTAATCTCATAATCGAATATTGCATATGGTATGATCTAAATCTTTTCAAATTAAATTAAAATTAGTGTAGAAATAATCTCTACAGCCAGTTCAGAAAAAAAAAATCCAGGTATATGTCTTTAAATTTGGTCGATAAAATAGGATTTAGTGGATAATTAACCAAAAAAACCCTAATGGACACTTTTTCTAGGAATTTAGGAAGACGAAGACTTGTATTCCTTTATAAATATAAGCATCTCCTTTGCAGAGCCTTGCCCTTCCATATTCTGCAACTTCTTCCTTCTTCACATACTTTCTATCATTTTCTCGGGAAAAAAAAACTTTCCCAATCGTTCTTCCTTCCCCTTCTCACCACACACACAGGTCGGTATTGTTTGTTCCCCAAACCCTTCAAACATTATCTTATTCACGATTTTATTTTGCTTCACTTCTTTTGGTCACTAACCAAATCTTTGTTCTTCTAATTATACTGTTTCTTTTTTGTATCATTGATCCTTTTTTTTTCCTTTAATTTTTCTTATATTATCGGATAAAAGCTTCATTTATTTCTGTGTTGAGCAGAAATAACATCCAAATCCTTGTTTCTTTTTGTTCCTGTTCTTCTTTACTGGGAAAATCAATTTCAAGAACGAAGTCGCATCAAATCTACGTATTTCTGTGAACAATCAAGCGATGTTGCAATTTTCTTATTTTGGTCTTTAACTTTGAAATTTTTCTTCAAATCTAGGTTTACTTTCTTTTCTTGAACCCATTTACTTCCTTTGAAAAATTTCTTGAACTCGTTTTTGTCTTTGAATCCAGCAAACAAAATCAAATCCATGGTACTGCTTTTGATAGAAATTGGATCTATAAAAAATAAATTTTTTTCCCTGCTTCACATCTCAAGATTTATCTTCAATCAAACTCAAGAAAAATAAAAGTTCCAAATAAGAGTGTATGCTAGCAAGAAATCTCCGACCACATTGAATGTTGTGTCTGGAATCAAACTTCCAAGATTCGCACACACAAACACACATCTACGTGTATGAAATCTGGAGTTTATATAATTCATCAAGAAAATGTTTTTTTTCTTTTTCTGATGGGGTTTATTATGAATGAATGATTTGTGAGCAGCAACCACGGCGTACCAAACGGAGCTGGGATCAGAAACCTCTCTCCAGAGGAAATCTGGGAGAGGAAAGATCGAAATCAAACGGATCGAGAACACTACGAATCGTCAGGTCACTTTCTGCAAACGCAGAAATGGTCTTCTCAAGAAAGCCTATGAGCTCTCTGTTCTCTGTGACGCTGAGATCGCCCTCATCGTCTTCTCCAGCCGCGGCCGCCTCTACGAGTACTCCAACAACAGGTCAATATATACACACACTCACTCTTCTCTGTTTTCTTTCCAATGTTTATATGATTCGTTGATATGATAGTTTTTTTTTCTGATCTAGGGTTTCTGATAGATCATGCTTGAACTGTTTCTAGGGTTTTCTTTTGCTTTTTTTTTTTTTGGATGTGCGCTCGAATTGATTCTGTTCTTCTTCTATGGTGCGTTTGTGATTTGCTTTTCACTTTTCTTTCAAGTTCCATGTTTTAGATTTATGTATATGCACATGAATATATACACACTTGAGAAATCTTTGTAGAAGATAATTTTAATCACTCTTTTTTTTTTTGCGGTTTTTTCGATGAGTAGAAGATGAAAAATTAAAAACCATAGCGATTTCTAATGTGAAGTTTTAGATTCGGTTTTGTAAAAACTAAGATTCACTTTGTTGGTTACTTTACTCACTTTGAGATACTTTTTTTTTTTTACTTCTTTTTACATCTAGCAAGTACGGTAAGATGAGATATGTGTATAGATCTGGTGTTGTAATGGGTAAATCTTGATTTTTATTTTAGGAATATGCAATTGAACATAGCAGAAGATGGGTTTATAGATTTTGGAATAAAATATTATATAGACATCAATATATGTATGTGGGTATATGTACTACGTATGAGGTCATCTTATCTTTTGATCATCCTCCATTGTTGTAAATGTCTGTCTCTCCTTTCCCTTCTCTCCTTCTCTTCTTTTCCTTTCTCATCTCTCTCTCTCATGAATTTCACCTATTTTTTTATATGATAACACAACCGACGGTTGGAGATAAGTTTACTTTCTTTAGATCTAACAAGTGAGATTGAATTATATGAACTTTCATTTGATAGCGGGTACATGTAGGGCATGTACTGTCTTCATGATGTCTAGGAACAAAGCCCCTTCGATTTCTTGTCACTTCCTCGTTGGCTTATCCGGGAAAAAAAAAGCAACTCAAGTAAATTTGGAAGGGGTTTGATTCTGCAAAGTTCTAATTAAAAACATCAATTTAGGGTTTTAAAAGAAACTGGAAGGAATTAATATTCCTAAAAGAGTGAAGAAAGTTTGTGAGATCTTGAATTAGGGTTCGTCTACTAGGAAACTTGTTTCTGGGTTTCTTTAAAGATGTAATTGCTTCTTCCAGATTAGGGTTTTAAAGAAGTAATGATATAGAACAAACGGGGTTTTCTCTTCGTGGGTCTGGACCCATTTTTGACTGATGAAGAAACAAAAATCAATCTCAAAATTCTCACAACCCATTTCACATCACATCTCAAGTTAGGGATATTTTGACCCATTTCATTAAGGATTCTCGAAACGCTCACGCAATTTCTCTTCTTCGCAGTCTAGAAATTGCCTTTGATTAGGTGTCTTTTGCTGTTCTTAATCACTTACAGTTGTCTGTACTTCATATTTTCTTAATGCCCAAAAAGGAAAATTTGTGAAGTAAGGAAGAAAACCCTTCAAATTGAACCGGTCAAAATCTTGAATCTGCTTCTCGATTTTTCTTCGAGTGTACACATACATATATATATATATAATATATATATATGTATAAGTATACACACACTCATCAATGTCTGCGTGTACTTAAATTCTCTTACCCATTGGATAAAAAAGGAACAGGCAATGTTTCTTTTTTTTTCCCCTCCATTTTTCGGTTTTCCTGTGATTGGCATGTGAGGAGCAAGGTTAGGTTTTGCTCTCTGTAAGATTTGTTGTCTTTGTTACAGAATCTTTGATCACGTCATCACACAGATTTTATATGTTTTCAATTTTGTTTTTTTTTTGTAGTTTCAGTTCTTGACTTTTGACAGGTTGGGTGTATGTCATGATGCTCTTAGGTTAGCTCCTGTCCACAAATTCAAAATTTATTTCTTTTACCGTTTGAACTCCTATATTTGACATTGAGTCGTTATATAAATAGATTCGGGAAAGATATACAATTAAGAGTGGGGAATTACAAAATATATATATTATAAAATAGTGTAAATATAATATATAGTTAAAGATGTCGACAGTTTGATTCGGTTTCTGGGTTAATATATACTGGAAAATACCAATCAGAAAATTTCGAATGCTGGTGCTGTTTACTCCGAAAATCACGAGATTCAGTGCTTCGAGATCTTTGCATTTAGATACATTTATTTATTCAAGTTCCCTCTTTTCTTGTTTATTATTTTCTAGAGAGAGAAAGTTAGGGTTTTTTTCTTTTCTCTCTCTCCTCGTTGTAAACAGTGAAAGTGAGATTTCTCGTACGGAGCCAATAGAAAAAAAGACTGACTTCTGCAATTTCTGAGTTTCTTAATTTTCTTTTGTCTTCTTTTGCCGATTGAAAGCAACGGCTGCTGGGCTTCTGCTGTCCCAAAATGGACAGTTCCGATTTCCCATCCGTCTTTGATTTAATCCTAAACGCATGTACGTATATATATACACGTCTTGTGTTTTGTGTATATACAACCCTAATTCTGCCACGCGTATACAAAATGCATACGGAGCCTTTCAATTTTTTTTCGAGATATATATATAGGATCTTTTTTTATATATATTTACAAAGTTCCCAAAGTATGTTACAAGAATTTGTTTTTGACTTGTATGTGATTAGGTTTTTTAAGTAAAAATATTTTTTTTAAAGAGTAGCATTATCATAGATTCTTAGCAATAATTAATATACAAGCAAAATTGTATAACACTAGTTTTTTTATTCTACTATTTTGACGGTTCTTCCAATTGAGAAATCTCTATATTCGTGTAGTAATTTTTTTTATTCTAAAGAAGGAACTAAACTATGAAATGCTGTGACTGTACTTTGGGAAGTCATTTAGATTGCATCCAAATCCTATGGTTAAAGAACAAAAAATCGGCTAAATCCAGAGGATGTTTGGTTGAGTGATGGGTTTGTGACACGTGTCATGTGTCCGAAACCTTAGATTGACTCAGACCAATCATATTGTCGTAAACTGTGCCAGCATGGCAGAAGGAGCCAATCAGTAGTAGCTCGAGAAGATTAAGGTTTCTGGGGATATATAATATAATATTATATATATAAATGTCATTCTTATTTGGAACGCTGAGGAATAGTTTAATTTTTCCTTTATTATCATTTACATTACATCAACTGTCACATTAGTGTTGACTAGCACAGACCCCCTATTGCTCTGACTCAAAAGAAACGATGTTTGCTTGTCTCAACGGACACTATATATATATATATATATATATATATATATATATGTGTGTGTGTGTGTGTGTGGAGGGATTAATTAACAACTAATTAATCAGCTCTTAAATTTGTTTTTAAAAATTGGTTGCAGTGTAAAAGCGACAATTGAGAGGTATAAGAAGGCCATATCGGATAATTCTATCTGAAATCAATGCCCACGTATATATATATATATATATATATATATATATATATATATATGTTTACATTTTATTTTAGAAAATGCAATGGTGACATTAAATTCCATTGTAAAGTTTTAATTCGAATTTGAGATATGAATCAAACTCTGATTTTTCAACGCTAACGATGTGCAAGGAAACCTTGAAGTAAATAACTACTAATTGCCCCCTCGTTTAGATGATATATATATATATATAAAACAAGGCTGTAACTTGCAATTTGATTGATATTATCTTTATATTTTGGTTCAGTACTATCAACAAGAAGCCCAAAAATTGCGTCAACATATTCTTGGTATACAAAACTCGAACAGGTAATTAAAAAAAATACGTAACGTTTATTTTTTTGGTTAAGGGATATTCCAAGTTCAATGTTATAAACTTACAAAATAAATGTGATTTAAAATTATGTATTTATTTATGTTGTACGTGGGTTTCGTGGAAGGCAACTGATGGGTGAGACAATAGGGTCAATGGTGCCCAAAGACCTCAGGACTTTGGAACGCAAATTAGATACTGCAATTAGCCGAATCCGATCCAAAAAGGTACACACATATATATATATATATATATATATATATATTCAATCTTTTTTTACTAATTTCCAAATTGTTTATATATTCATCATTATCGGTATTTTTTTCATTTTATTTTTTTGGACAGAACGAGCTTTTGTTTGCCGAAATTGAGCACATGCGGAAGAGGGTGAGAATTAGTATAAACAAATATGTACATAATCTATATACATATACACACATGTATATTTACATATAAGGCGGTGTTTTATGCAACCTGTATTATTTTTATGGTGATTAATAAATATGTTCTATTTATAAATTAGGAAGCCGATTTGTATAATGACAACAACCTTCTGCGTGCCAAGGTAAGGTCCCCTACGTCTCATGAAATTACATGAACTGCTTGCAATATTGTAAAGTGTTCGCAACAATAATGTATGTCGTATCATATGCATATTCTTTGGATCTGTTTAATGATTTAGTGACGTAGACATATACATATGCATACATATATATACATATAGATAGCAGAGAATGAGAGGAACCATCCGAGCATGATGAATCTGATGCCGGGAAGATCGAACTACGAGGAGCAGCCGATGATGCCGCAACCGTCTCAGCAGTTCGATTCGAGGAGTTATTTCCAAGTCGCAGCTTTACAACCCAACCACCATTTCTCCGGCAAGTATATATATACCTCACCTCTTTTCCATTTTCATTTGGAGCATTATAAAAAAAAACCTTTATTTGCTACTATATGAACTTCAAATCACACCTTTTTATATCATTTTTTTTATTTGATCCCACCGTAACATATCTCGAGATTACACTAGTTACATCTTTAAAGTTACGTAATGGTTACACTAGTTACACTGATCCCATCGTTCAAAACTCATATGGTGCTTACATTGGTCAAATAAAAAAAATTAAAAAGAGTATGGTTTGAAATCCATGTATCAAAGGATATTTTTTTATTATAATATATTCCTTTTCGTTTTTGGTTCTAATTAGATTCTTTATAGCCGTAAGTTCTTGGGCTTGAGGTGTGTATATATATATATATATATATATATATTGGTTGTGAAAGTTCAGTATCAGTAATGAGCCAGCATGTTATGTATGTTTTGCAGGTAATATTGTCTGAAAGACGAAGAAGAGTTATCGGTGGCAATATGGAGCAATATGTATAAGTTTAGGATATATATATGTTTGAAGAAGCCAAATTGTAAGACCATTGATAATGTTCTACATGGGACATGTCTATTTGTATTCACATATGTATGTACTCAAATATTACAATATTGCATCTTCCTCTCCAATAATTTCTTCTCTCCGGCCGGTTTTATTATTGGGCATACGTTGTGTTGATTGTTTCACGCATATACAGTATACCCTAATTAGAAGCTTAATAATTGCATTCCCTAGTTGTTTTTTCATAGTCAATAATGGAATTGTTTACAACCGTAGTAGCGTACGTATAGTATGGGTATGGGTATAAACTTCGAGGACAATTTCGTCATTCCGGCGCTCACCAATAGACGCTGTTTTGTCCGTCTTTGCCCAAGGAAAACCTTCTCTCTGGGACCCAGTCTTTGCCCCTTCAGACTAGTAGCCATGCGGCTGTTTCCTCTCCAATGGCTTCCCTGTTACATGCTGATACAAATACTTTGAACACTTGGATGAAAAGATTGAAAGAATTCAGGCATCCATTTATAACAAATTAACACCATATAGCATTTACCCACAAAAACAAATATTGATTTTTTAAAGAGTACAAAACCCAAAAAGAAAAAAAAAAGAAACGAACTTTCAAAACGTACATATATAAGTAAGGTTTTCATCGGCATCGATCTAGATCTAGAGCATGGCGAGGCGCTCGATATCGTAAGGGTGAGCGTCGTTAGGGGACTCGGCTCGGAAAGATCTTCTGCCGATGATGATGTTCGCGGCTTCGCCCGGATGAAACGCGTCCCAGAACACAAACTCGTTCCTGTTCAGACATGGAGCTTGACCAGGCAGGCATGTTATCTGTCCGTTGTTCCTCCCGACTCCACAGCATCCAGCGTTTGTCACCCTGAATCCTGTAGGCATCCCAAAAGCCGAAAAGATGGATAAGCCTATACAGTGAAGCACCAATCGCAGGCTGACGGTTTGAACAGGGAGTGGCAAAACCCCCCCGAAAAACGGGTATCTCCGAATACCCGAACATTTGGGACATTCTGTGGCACCCGAACTTTGGGTACCCCCATGGCACGAGCACGGAGACAGGATCCAAATCTCAGATCCCGAGAGACATGAGTTTGAGGTCGGATACCTCTAAAATCACGGGTACCCGACCTGTGCCAATCCCTTTGAAGTGTTTGTGATGTGATCCTAAGGGGTCATAAACAGAGTGCATTACCGTAGCGGCCGGGATTGTTGACGATATCTTGGAAGATGCCGTAAGCGTTGATGTAAGTGAACTTAGCATCGGGAGTGTTCTGGTTGAACTCGTCGACCAGAGAGATTAACCTCGCGTTGAACATTCTGTTCGCTTGGTTGATCCTCTCGTCACACGTCCTGCCATCTTGGCTGTTCTGTGCTAGCTCGTTCGGGCTGCACCCTATCGCCCCTATCCCCACAAGAGCAAACTTCCTCGCACCATTGTTGTACAATACCTATATATATGTATGTGTCATGATGGCCTACCAAAACATAAGCTCGAACAAAAAAACTGTTTATTTTGAGATACCCTTTGACAATCTCTTTGCTTCTTGTAAGAAAAAGAACCTTGCCCATGATTTCTCACCGAGGGTTTGTAATAAACTATGAACGTTTAGGCATTTGTAGGAAGACGAATCAAGGCAAGAAAAGGAGAAGGACGACAAGCGGTACCAACCCGAAGCTGCTCGGTGTAGCGGTTGATGAGGTCATCGGCATATTGCTCGGGAGAAAACTGGTTTCCGGTGGAGTAATAGAGAGGCATGAAGTAGTTGTTCAGATAGTCATTGCTTCCTAATCCAATGGAGTAAATGCATTTGCTGAGGTAATTAGCCGCTTGGTTCTCATCTCCCAATATGTTTACCACTTGTGACACCGTTTCCACATGATAGTTCACTTGCCCTGCAAACGTTATTCTCCCTCCCTGAACCAAAAACAAAATCTAAATTACATGAACTTGGTGGCGAAAAGATGTGAACTTTAACCCGTTTTTCAATCAAGAATTGGATATTTTCGCTAGATAACAAACAAAATCTGAAGTTTCATCATTAAACCATCTATTCGGACATGGAAAAACCAAAGGCGGACAATGCATATGTTTTGTTTTCTAAGGTTTACCAGTTGTCGTCCAGTTTCTTCCCTGATACCAGCAGCCGCGGAAGCATAGTTAACTCCTCTGAGTATGTCTTGTCCCCTCGCAGCGAGGTATGGTGTAACATAATCCTCGAAACCCAGAAGCTCAGCTTTTAAATTCCCAAAGGACAAAAACAAGTTAGTTCCTATGATGGACGTTAATCTGAAAAGGAACATATCGGATCAGAAAAACATCGCACGTACCGATGACATCAACGGTGGTTTTGCCATTGGAGAACCTTCCTGTCGGACCGAAAGGGAAATCGATACCGTAAGGGAAGTAATCAGCCCTTGCTAAGGACGACAGCTGGTTGTTGTTGCCACTGTCTACCAAAGAATCACCGAAAATGAAATAACATGGGGCCAATGGATCACTTGAAGCCAAGTCCATGGCCATAGCCACAATCACCAAACCTAAAAGACACCGTTTAGCCATCTCTCTCTCGGGAGCCCGATAAGAGCGGGGATTCCGATATTTGTGAAGAAAGATGGTGAGGAACGTGACGAACATAAAAAAGGGTTTATATAATACGGTACCAGAATGAAGAGGGAATGCAATATTAAGTGGTTAAAGTTCCTGACGGTTGAAGAGCATTAAATGTCACGCGGCGATAATGTGTTGATACATACATGTACATATGCAAGTGAGGTTGTTTTTTACAACAGACAGCAGGCAATCAAGGTGATTCACGGACCGATTTCGATGAAATCTAATCGATTTGGCGTTGTTTCGATTGATTAGTTCTATAAATTAATACATCATATAAACACACAACGGTTATTTCAAATGCAATGCTGAAGCAAACTCGAGTTTAAAGCCATTGAGCAAATGCAAATTACACAGACCAAGGCAATATAGATGTGGACCTCACAAAGACCTTTCCCTATTACCGCCTTTATTGTGGCTCTACCCCGGTGGAGGAGCAGTGGCTGCCCTGAAATGGAAAGTAAACTCAAAAAAACAAACATAACAACACGACATGAAAGCCCATTTGCATGGTCCTGCCTTAGAATTGGCGGTGAAGAATGATGTTTGTGGATAAATGTGATAATGGCGGTGGATGAAAGAGCATTAAATGGAAGAAGAGAGGGAGACCTGGGTCATGATGATCATCACCATGATTGACCTGATGGGTGGTTGGGGCCATAAATTCCTCATTGCTACGGCCTTGTGTTCATGCTTCCTCCCCTTCAATAATCAACTTTGGGAAACCAAATGTGATGAGCGAGACTTCAATCTCCTTCCCTGGTTTCAAACGTTTGTCAAAAAAGCATTAAGAAACTAATCAGCTAACAGTTGCAGCATGATGAAAGAGAGTGGACAAGAACCATCAGAAGCTACACTTTTATGTCTCCAAATTCAGTAAAAATTGCTGTTATCATCAGGAACAACGGGTCTTAAGTTTTTGAAGTCAGAACTCAGTAACTTTGGGCATTTGGGGCATGTGATAGCTTGTGGGGTGTGTTATTACAGGGCATTCAAGGAAGACGACCAAATCAAAGACAGTTAAAGCAAACACGTTGAATGCTTTCTCAAACGGAGAAATATTCAAGTTTCTGTTTTATCTACAACGCCAACCACATGCCCTTATTTATGAGCTCTGCAACACAAAAGAGACAGTGTTCCACCATGGAAGTCATTGATCAGAGACAACTCAGAACTTTTAAGTTTATAAAAAAAAAAAGGGTTATCATATGAACAGAGACTTTACCATCTGTTTCACGAAATCACAGGTTAGAATTACACCAGAGAGCATTTCACACAAATCAAAAGTGACATTATGAAAAGGCTGTACAGAGTTTCAGACCAGACATCACAGAACAATATTCATCAACAAGACATCTCGCCTCTCTGTTATAACAACAGCTTAAGACCTCATGGAAAGACAATTCACAGTGATCCAACGGCGACCAGCCATTAGAACAAAAATTGAACAACCTGTCATAGTGATCTAGTGCAAATATAACAACCGCAAAGTACAGTAACAGACAAGGGTTTTTTGTCTTAATTTTGGCAACCCATTAGCGTTTGCTTTTGCAATATTCGGAGTAGTTAACAAAGTATCGGTCTTTTCGACTGTTGAACGGATTCTGAACGAATTGAATAGGAAGATATCTCCTTTGGACGCCAGAAAGAAGGGAAAGATGAAGCCCTACCGCTTTGCCAAACGACGAAGCATTCGTTTCGAAACGTGGAGAGCATTCCCGTGATTCCGGGCGACGGAGGCAGGCAGCCCTATCCCATCCGCTTCCGACTCGGCCCGAGTCAACTCGCCCACTAAACCCATGAGCTCGTTTCGATCGGCAATGGGTATTTCTCGGCCATAGCTTTGTTCCCCGGACGGCGCTTTGACTTGGGCCGGCCCGTCAAAAATGTGAGCGGCCGTGGAAAAAGGTGGGTCCTACTATGTGCTGATGTGGTGTATCTATAATCATATTAAAGTAATAAAATTATAAGGTTTAAATTACATGTTTTTTACTGTAACTTAAAAGATGTATCATTAGTTGAGCTGATTTTTTTTTTTGCTGCTATTCGTATCATTTTATTTTTCCAACGTAAATTTATTGTGGATTGTTCAAAACTAAATGAAAGGTTATTCTCGCTCTAATTAAATGATCTAATTTTAATTTTGTGCCAAACCGTTACCAAACTTTCCATAATTAATAATTATTAATTTTAATTACTATGAACCATCATCTATCATAAAATGTTTAATTATTATTATTTCTAGACGAATGAGTACAATTCATTTTGTATGTATATTGTATAATAATAATAATAACATGACAAAAAAAAACAGAAAAAACTTCTACATCGATCTACAAGTGAAAAAAAACATACACTACTGATCAGCCGACACCACCGTCATCGGCCGATTCCGGCGACGGCGCCGCCGCGATCTATGATCCTTGGGGTGGCTGGCGCCGCACC